AGGGGATCCTGTCCTCTTGGGATTCCCAGAGTCCTGGGCCCTATACCAGGCCTCTGAGTTCCTGATCCCCTCACTGCCGGCCCGCTGGACGGTGAAAGTCCCTGTGGCTGCTTCCTTTCCTAGAGATTTCAGGTGAGCTCACTGTGTCACATGACGGTTTCAGGCCCTGCCGTCGGACTCCCCCTTCCTGGCTGCTCCTTAGCTCAGGAGGTGGAACTGAACACAAGTTGGGAGGAACATTCAGTCTACTCCTCCTACTCTCTACCAATTTTTTTAACAGCTGGTAGACCAAGAAAGCATGTCTGTGGGCCATCTGTTTATACATTTTAGTCTTGCATATTCTTTTTAGGAATAATATGTTATTTTGTTTGTTTTTTGAAACAGAGTCTCGCTCTGTTGCCCAGGTTGGAGTGCGATCTCAGCTCACTGCAACCTCTGCCTCCTAGGTTCAAGCGATTCTCCTGCCTCAGTCGCCCGAGTAGCATATGCCACCATGCCCAGCTAATTTTTGTATTTTTAGTAGAGACAAGGTTTCACCATGTTGACCTGGCTGGTCTCCAGCTCCTCACCTCAGGTGATCTGCCCGCCTCGGCCTCCCAAAGTGCTAGGATTACAGGTGTGAGCCACCGCACCTGGCCAGGAATAATGTGTTATTGCACTTATATTTAGTACCTTAATTTATTTAACCAGACCACCTCCCAGGTTTTAATTTTTAATATCATACCATACAATGTCTTTCCTTATAGATTCTTCACCATCCTGCCATTATTATTCTAAATTTGCAATACCTGATTCCCAAAGCTTCACGATGATAGTAACAATATTACCATTTACTGAGTGCCTGCTATGTGCTAAGGCTCAGTGGTAGGACCTTATATGTATTACCTTATTTAATATGTAGTACAGCTTTATTTTCATCCTGATTTTACAGACAAGGAAACTAAGTCTCAGAGATATTGTATGACTTGTTCAAGGTCACACAGCTGGTAGGTAATGGAGGCAAACTTCAAAGTTCTCGTGTTTTTCTCCATCCCATTATACACAGAGAATGCTGTGTGCCCGGCTTCCAGTTCGAGGTTTGCCGTGTACTAACTAACCCTACTTCTCTCGCCAGGCGAGGTTAGCTACCTGGATTCAGATACTTCTAAGGCAGTCACCTCTCCCTCCCAGCAGTGTAGAGAGGACAAATGAGATCATGCACCTGTAAGCACTTTAAAACTTTTAGCATGGGACCGGGCACAGTGACTCACACCTGTAATCCCAGCACTTTGGGAGGCTGAGGCAGGCGGATCACGAGGTCAGGAGATCGAGACCATCCTGGCTAACACGGTGAAACCCCGTCTCTACTAAAAACTACAAAAAATTAGCTGGGCGTGGTGGCGGGCACCTATAGTCCCAGCTACTCGGGACTTTCAGCATGTCATACAAACAGAAGGGATAATTAAGAGATTATTGTAGAGTATGCAGATAACTTTGTTTATTTCAAGCACCTTAGCCCATTGACACATGTGGAGATGTCCAGAGACCTGGTCAAATCCTCAAATACTGCCAACAGCACAATCATTTCTCCCATAAAATGCCATAATGTCATCTAAAAATGTAAGTAACTCTTGGTCGGGCACGGTGGCTTACGCCTGTAATCTCAGCACTTTGGGAGGCTGAGGCAGGTGGATCACTTGAGGTACGAAGTTTGAGACCAGCCCGGCCAACGTGATAAAACCCCATCTCTACCGAAATACAAAAATTAGCCGAGCATGGTGGCACATGCATGTAATCCCAGCTACTCAGGAAGCTGAGGCAGGAGAATCGCTTGAACCTGGGAGGCGGAGGGTATAGTGAGCCGAGATCGCACCACTGCACTCCAAGCTGGGCAATAGAGCGAGGCTCTATCTCAAAAAAAAAATAAATAAATAAGTAAATAACTCTTTAAAATGTTTAATGATTACATAAACACAAGGCATAAAGCTATTCATAAAGATTTAAAAAAATAGAGACAGAGTCTTGCTCTGTTGTTCAGGCTGGTGTGCAATGGTCCAGTCATAGCTCACCGCAGCCTCAAATTCCTGGACTCAAGCAGCCCTCCCATCTCAGGCTCCCACCATGCCTGGCTTATTTATAAGGATTTAAAGTTATTTGTGAATGTTGTCTTGCTGTGAATGTTATCTTGTCCTTATTTATAAGGATTTAAAGTTATTTGTGAATGAGCACTTGCTGAAACTGTTTTGTGAATCAGTTTTTTTCTTAATTTCTTAAAGCTGAATGAGGAGCCAAAAGCCTGTTCTGAATCCCAGTCCAGTCTTTAGTGGTTTGAAATTCCCTATTTATGTCTCAGAAACATTGCTTTCTTTGGATTCTCCAATTTCTCCTCCCTTCTATTTCAATACTGGTGTTTGGCCTTTTTTTTTTTTGACAGAGAGAGTCTTGCTCTGTTGCCCAGGCTGGAGTGCAGTGGTGTGATCTCAGCTCACTGTCACTTCGGCCTCCTGGGATCAAGCAATTCCCATGCCTCCGCCTCCCAAGTAACTGGAATTACAGGCGTCCACCACCACGCCTGGCTAATTTTGGTATTTTTAATAGAGATGGAGGTTTCACCATGTTGGCCAGGCTGGTCTCAAACTCCTGGCCTCAAGTGATCCGCCCGCCTCAGCCTCACAAAGTGCTGGGATTACAGGTGTGAGCTACCATGCCAGGCCTAGTATTTGGCCTTCCTCTTTTTTTTTTTTTTTAAGGCAGAGTTTTGCTCTTGTTGCCCAGGCTGGAGTACAACAGCATGATCTCGGCTCACTGTAACCTCCGCCTCCCGGGTTCAATCAATTCTCCTATCTCAGCCTCCCAAGTAGCTGGGATTACAGGTGCCCACTACCATACCCAGCTAAGTTTTGTATTTTTTAGTAGAGACAGGGTATCGCCATGTTGGCCAAGCTGGTCCTGAACTCCTGACCTTAGGTAATCCACCTGCCTCGGCCTCCCAAAGTGCTGGGATCACAGGCATGAGCCACCCCACCCAGCTGTATTTGGCCTCCTATGGGAGGTCATTTCCACAAACAAGCAAGACTTTCTAATTATTTTTCAAGGATTACAAAGTCTTGACTCATAAGTGATACAAATTCATGTCGTGATTTGTAGTATTAGTAGCAAATGACAAATGATACATATTACGTGCATTCAGAGTCACCAGGGAGTTTTTGTTTGGTTTTGGTTTTGAAACAGGGTCTTGCTCTGTTGCCTAGGCTGGAGTACGGTGGCATGATCATAGCTCACTGCACCCTTGACCTCCTGGACTTAAGTGATCCTCCCACCTCAACATGCCAAAGTGCTGGGATTGTAGTTGTGAGCCACCGTGCCCAGCCTTCCAGGGAGTTTAGATCTGTGACTAGGCAAAAAGAACAAATCTGAAGGCATCACTTTACCTGACTTCAAACTATACTATAAGGCTATAGTCACGAAAACAGCATGGTACTAGTATAAAAATAGGCACAGAGACCAATGGAACAGAATAGAGAACCCAGAAATAAAGCCAAAGACTTACAGCCAACTGATCTTCAACAAAGCAAATAAAAATATAGAGTGGGAAAAGGGCAGCCTATTCAACAAATGGTGCTGAGATAATTGGCAAGACACATGTAGAAAAATAAAACTGAATCCTCCTCTCTCACCTTATACAAAAATCAACTCAGGATAGATCAAAGACTTAAATCTACAACCTGAAACCATAAACATTCTAGAAGATAACATCGGAAACACCCTTCTAGACGTTGGCTTAGGCAAAGACTTTGTGACCAAGAACCCAAAAGCAAATGCAACAAAAACAAAGATAAATAGACGGGACTTAAACTAAAAAGTTTCTGCACTGCAAAAGAAATAATCAGCATAGTTAACAGACACCGCACAGAGATTGGACTTTGGGGACTCAGGGGAAAAGGTGGGGGGTGGCGAGAGATAAAAGACTATACACATTGGACTAGGCGCGGTGGCTCACGCCTGTAATCTTAAGGGATACCTGAGCTCCTTCTAGGAGGTTCTGATTTAGTAGATCTGGGACAGTCAGGAATCTGTAATCAGCTGATCTTTATCAAGAGCTGATTTGGGGCTGGCTCATGTGCTAAGTGTTTTGTAAGTTCGTGCTCTCACTTTGTATCTTCATGACGATTTGAGCAATGTCAAGCCATGACCAATGCCGTCGTTAACACCCCCGGTTTTACAGGTGAGGAAACTGAAGCTAAGAACATCAAAAAGGGTGGGGAGGTGGGGGAAGCGGCTAAAAAAAAGTTATGCAACTAGTACACCTAGTAACTGGTCTACTGGAGATTCCAACTCAGGCCCAGCAACTCCAGACCCCACTCTCTCAACCACTGTGCGACATAAGACTTTTGGGGGAGCTTCTGGTGATTTTAGGGATTAGTCAGTCAGCTTTTCGCAAAGCCTTCTAGAGGCCCATGCCACTCTCAAAGGGTGCATGTGTTTGAAATGTATGGCCCATCCCCCTCCAGTGTTTTTGGAAGGAAAATAGTGTAGAAACAAGATCATCGGAGGGAACACGACGAACAGCTGAACCTCTTATCAGCATTTCCCAGCCTTTGGACTACTCCGCGAGGTCCTGGTCTCACAGGCGGACCCAATCTGGGAACTAAGGGAGAATCTTTCTGTACACCTGGCACTTCTCGTCACGCCCCGTCCCCCGAACACCCAATCCCAAACCCGTTGGGCATGACTGACGTCCACTCAGAGCAATTATAATTGGCCATAGCGGACAGCCGCTCCGCCTCCCGGGCGACCCCGCCTCCCTTTCATTCTGAAAGAAAGAACCTCAGCCTGGGCGTCCAATGAGAAGCGCCTTCACCTCAAAGATCCCGCCTCTTTCGGCGTCGACCCCGCCCCGAGGCCGGAAGGGACGCCCGCCTCCCTTGGCGAGATGAGCCAATCGGAGGGCTCTCACGGCCAGATGGACGGCAGCCGGCCCAATCCGCCGGGCCTCACGCGGCGCCGACCCGCCCCTCCGCCGGGCCCGAGTGGCGGCCGGGCGACGAGTGCGGGCCTCGGAGCGACGGCAGCGGCGGCGGCGGCGGCGGACGCGGCCTGAGGCGAGCGGCGGGGCGTGGGGCGGTGCCTCGGCCCGGGCTCGCCCTCGCCGGCGGGAGCGTCCATGGCCCCCGGGCGCCGGCGGGGCGCGGCCGCGGCCTGAGGGGCCATGTCCGGGGTGGTGCGGACCCTCAGCCGCTGCCTGCTGCCGGCCGAGGCCGGCGGGGCCCGCGAGCGCAGGGCGGGCGGCGGCGCGCGCGACGCGGAGCGCGAGGCCCGGAGGCGCAGCCGCGACATCGACGCGCTGCTGGCGCGCGAGCGGCGCGCGGTCCGGCGCCTGGTGAAGATCCTGCTGCTGGGCGCGGGCGAGAGCGGCAAGTCCACGTTCCTTAAGCAGATGCGCATCATCCACGGCCGCGAGTTTGACCAGAAGGCGCTGCTGGAGTTCCGCGACACCATCTTCGACAACATCCTCAAGGTGACGCGCGCCCCCCGCCCAGCACCTGCACCCAGGTGGGCCGGGGCGCTGACCCCCGCCCCTGGCCCCCCGTTGGTCCGCCGCCGCGGGCGGGGACCCCTGGAGCCAGGATGCCGGATCCAGCCCCGCCTGCACCCCACTCCCTCCCACCCATCCCCCGGGGCCTGCTGGCGTCGTCTCTGTCCCACCCCCCTCTCGCCCTTTTTGAGATAGGATCTCGCTGTGTTGCCCGGACTGGAGTACAGTGGCGCGCCCACAGCTCACTGCAGCCTCTACCTCCCAGGCTCAAGCCCTACCCCCTCCATGGCCTCCCAAAGTAATGGGATTACGGGCGCGCACCACCAGCCCAGCTAATTTTTAAGGTTTTTTTTTTTTGTAGAGATGGGGTCTTGCAATGTTGCCCAGTCCGGTCTTGGTCTCCTGGCCTCGAGTGATCCTCCTGCCTTGGCCTCCCCAAAGTGCTAGGATTATAGGCATGAGTCATGGCACCTGGCCTGCCTCTGCCCTCTCTAGGGTGCCTGGGGACCGTGGGAGTGGAAACTCGGGTCAGCTTCTGGAGATGGGGGGTGAGGGGCTTGGCACTTAGCCCCCTCCTGGATGTGCCCTAGCAGAATGGTATCTGCCCATTTCCCACTGGAAGATCTGTGGGGTAGGAGCCCAGCTTGCCCTGCGCTCCGGCTGAGCTTAGAAGAAGAGCAATGGAGACCGGACAGGAATCAGCCATGAGTCTCTTTTTACGTTTCTTGGTTTTTTTTTTTTTTCTTTTTAGAAAGGCTCTCTGTTGCCCAGGCTGGTCTGAAGCCATCCTCCCACCTGGGCCTCCCAAAGTGCTGAGCCACATTTTCTTAATAGGAAAACTTCAAACATATGCGAAAGTAGAGGAACTAGTAGAATGTTTGTAAAATACCCACCCCCAACTAAAGCAATCATCGCTTCTGTGCCAATCCTATTCACCTGTACCCTCCCCATAGTCTGCAAGCATATCCAACTTTGTGTAGTTGCATTAGGAAAGGTTTTAGGATGTATGAGTGGCTGAAAGATAAGGCCTCCATGTAAAAACACAACTGCAGTACCACTAGCAAACCTGAAAATTAGTAATAGCTCAATATCACCAGATATCCAGTGTTCAGAATTCTTCCGTTGTGGCGTTATTGTTTTGTTTGAATCGACATACGTTGCAATGAATCTCCAGATTCTCCTATCTCCTGCTTCCTTTTTTCTCTTTGCCATAGTTGTGAAAGAAGCTGTAAAAGTTGGCCTGGTGTGATGGCTCATGCCTGTAATTCCTGCACTTTGGGAAGCTGAGGCAGGAGGATCACTTGAGGCCAGAAGTTTGAGACCAGCCTGGGCAACATAGCAAGACCTCAGTGCCACAAAAACGAACACATTAGTTGGGCATGGTGGAGTGCACCTGCAGTCCCAGTTGCTTGAGAGGCTGAAGTAGGAGAATTGCTTGAGCCTGGGAGGTCGGGGCTGCAGTGAGCCATGTTTGGGCCACTGCACTCCAGCCTGAGTGGCAGTGAAAAAATAAAAGAACCATAGAGTTGATAAAGTCAGGGTTCCAGTCTCTCAGGACTGTGGGCCTGTGTTAAAGGGCCCCAAGGAAGATCTGGAGAAAACTGATGATGAGGGAACAGTGGAGCCTTGCTTACACCTAAATAGCATCCTTTCTCCCTCCCTCCCTTTTTCCTTCCTTTCCTTCTTTTCTTTCCTTCCTTTCTTCCTTTTCTTCGTTTCTTCCTCCCTTCCTTTCTTCCTTCCTTTTCTTCCTTTCCTTCCTTTCCTTCCTGCCTGCCTGCCTTTCTTCCTCCCTTCCTTTCTTCCTTCCTTTTCTTCTTTCTTTACCACCTGCCTGCCTTTCTTTCTCCCATACGTTTTTCTTCCTTCCTCCCTTCCTTTCATTCTTCCCTCCCTTCCTCCCTCCTTCCTCCCTCCCTCCCTCCCTCCCTCCTTCCTCCCTCCCTCCTCCCTCCTTCCTCCTCCATCCCTCCCTCCCTTCCTCCCTCCCTCCCTCCCTCCTCCCTTCCTCCCTCCCTCCCTCCTCCACTCCCTCCTCCCTCCCTTCCTTCCTCCCTCCTCCCTCCCTCCCTTCCTTCCTCCCTCCCTCCCTTCCTTCCTCCTTCTTTCCTTCCTCCCTCCCCTTTCATTCTTCCCTCCCTCCCTTCTTCCCCTTCCTTCCTCCCTTCCTCCCTTCCTTCCTCCCTTCCTTCCTCCCTCCCTCCCTCCCTTCCTTCCTCCCTCCCTCCCTTCCTTCCTCCCTTCCTTTCCTTCCTCCCTCCCCTTTCATTCTTCCCTCCCTCCCTTCTTCCCTTCCTTCCTCCCTCCCTTCCTTCCTCCCTTCCTTCCTCTCTTCCTCCCTTCCTTCCTCTCTCCCTTCCTTCCTCCCTCCCTCCTTTCCTTCCTTTTTTCTTCCTCCCTTCCTTTCATTCTTCCCTCCCTTCCTTCCTCCTTCCCTCCCTCCCTCCCTTTCCTTCCCCCCTCCCTCCCTTCCTTTCCTCCCCTTTCCTTGTCCCCTCACCACTTTTTTCCCGAGCCCATTTTGGGGAAACCAAGTTTGAGGCGAGGACAGTTGTCTCACAGCAGAGGCGGAGAGAAGTTTGCCATGCCAGAAAACCTGCCTAGAGACTAGATTTTATGGTGCCTGGGAGATTTTAAATTCAGCAAAGCCTCGTAGAAACCTGTCGGGTACGTTTCGCTGACCCATAAGGATACCTGCCTCAGCCCTGGAGGTGAAGTGACTCCTTCTGGGGTCTCTGTGCTATAATCTTGGCCTCCAGACTTCCAGGCCAGTATCCCCACCTGACATACTTCTCATGGAAATGTTTCATTTTTATAGAATCCTAAAGGAGTTTATAGAGCTCCTTTAGGATTGTGAAGGGAAGAAAATAATTTGATAAAACACCTTTTTTCAAAAAAAAAAAAAAAAGACTCAACCTCCTGATGCATAGAAACGTTAACTTTCACTGACTTTCTCATCAGCAGAAACAAAATGTGTTAACTAGTATCTTAACTTCCTTTCCAGCTTTGTTTTTTCTAATTATAGTTTCATACTAAACTCACTTCATGTGTTGTGACCATTTCAATAACAAGTTAGAAATTCATCTTTCAATTTAAAACCAAAAACTGTTTCCTCCTCTTCAACCCCCACCCCCGCATTTTTATTTGAACAGATCACTTTGGGAAGAGACTATTTTATTTTTTGATTTTTATTTTTTGAGACAGGGCCTCATTCCGTCACCCAGGCTGGAGTGCAGTGGCACAATCATGGCTCACTGTGTCCTTGCCTCGCCTCGTGGGCTCAAGCAGTCCTCCTACCTCGGCCTCCCGAGTAGTTGGGACTGCAGGTATGTACCACCACCCCCAGCTAATTTTTGTAGAGACGGGGTCTCACTATGTTGCCCAGGCTGATCTTGAGCTCTTGGACTCAAGTGAACCACCTGCCTCAGCCTGCCAAAGTGCTGGGATTACAGGTGTGAAGCATTACACCTGGCCAGGGAAGAGACTTCAAATAAATTGCTCTGCAATGCCTTTAGTACTGGACATTTGAATACCATTTAGAATAATATTTGTGGCTATTTAGAGGTTTAGTGTTGACAGGTTCCTTTTAGAGCCCGGACTGTGTGCCATACACATTGTGCCTGATCCTTTCAAATACGGTGTTGAGTTTTCGTAATGCTTCAGATGGTATTACCTCATTTAGTGAATGAGGAAATTGAGGATAGAGACTTTAAAATCTGTTCAAGGCCAGCTACCTGATTAGCAGATGGCAGAGCTAGGAACTAAACATGCTTTTTTTAAAAAATTAAACTTGATTTTGAGATAATTCTAGAGTCCTATGCAGTTGTAGGAAATACTAGAGATCCCACGTACCCTCTGCCAGCTTTCCCTTGGTGATAATGTCCTGTAAAACTGTATAGCACAATCTTACAACCAGGATGTTGACGTGGATACAGTCACGATGTAGAGCATTTCCATCAGAGAAGGACTCTTCATGTTGCTGTTCTGTAGCCAGCGTCTGCTCCTCCTGTCCCAGACCCTGGCAATGAATAATCTGTTCTTTTGTTGTTGTTTTGAGACAGAGTCTTGCTCTGTCGCCCAGGCTGGAGTGCAATGGCGCAATCTCAGCTCCCTGCAACCTCCGCCTCCTGGTTTCAAGCGATTCTCCTGCCCCAGCCTCCCAGGTAGCTGGGATTACAGGCGCCCACCACCGCGCCCGGCTAATTTTTGTATTTTTAGTAGAGACGGGGTTTCACCGTGTTGGCCAGGCTGATCCCTAACTCCTGACCTGGTGATCTGCCTGCCTTAGCCTCCCAAAACACCAGGTGTGAGCACTGCACCCGGCCTCTATTCTTTAATTCTATAATTTTGTCATTTCATAAATGTCATGGCCAGGTGCAATGGCTCATGCCTCTAATTCCAGCACTTTGGGAGGCCAAGGCAGGCAGATTGCTTGAGCCCAGGAGTTCAAGACCCTGGGCAACATGGTGAAACCCCGTCTCTACAAAAACTACGAAAATTGGCCGGGTGCGGTGGCAGGTGCGTCTAATCCCAGCTACTCAGGAGGCTGAGGCAAAGCTTGAACTCAGGAGGCAAAGGTTGCAGAGAGCATGCCACTGTACTCCAGCCTGGGCAACAGAACAAGACACTATTTCAAAAACAAATTAGCTGGATGTGGTGATGCACACTGGAACCTGAGAGGCAGGTGGGAGGATCACTTGAACCTGGGAGGCAGAGGTTGCAGTGAGCCAACATCGTGCCATTGTACTTTATCCTGGGCAACAGAGCGGGACCCTGCCTCAAAAATATATAATAAAAAATACATATATTTTATATATATAAATATATATATTTTTATATAATATTTTTATATATTTTTATATATTATATATTTTATATATTATATATATTTATATAGATATAATAAAAATATACATGTATATATATATTTTTTCCTGTTATCTCTCTTTTGTTGATTTCTGGTTCGACTCCACTATGGACAG